AAAAACTGTAAATAAAATAAAATTGAATTAAATACTAAATTACATCATTAATTTTGTTTAGTAAATTAGTATCAATGTTATTAGTTTATTCAGTATGTTTGCACAGTATATAGGCAGTTGCTGCTGAAGTAACAAGAGTTAACCGCTTTGTCTAACATCACATGTCATAAAATGCAGTCTATTGTGGCTCAAAGTTGGATTCTGTACTTTTCCATTACTCCGCTATATGCTTGAAGATGGCCTGTGGTCGTACTAAAGCTGAAGCTATTGTAAAATTTGTTTTCGCTAAAAGTCAATTGAGATGATCGTTGATGACCTCACCAGTAACTACCTTCCGAACCGACGTGTTTCGCCGTGTCAAATGATGCATCAAATTTAAAAAACCGAAAGATGTTCCCAATTTGTGTACAATATTTCAATATTGAATGTGGTGTTAACAAAAAATTAATTGTGTTTGATGAGCAAAATGATGAGTGCTCAGTTGCTGTTTGTAAAATGATAAAAACTGGTCTAATAAAATTGTTAGTGCGTATTCGGCTGACAATGCCAGTGTCAGTTATGGCGTCCGACAATCAGTTTTTACTGCGTTAAAAGCACTAAACAAAAATATTGTGAAAACCTACTGCAATGCCCATATCACATAAAACATTCTTTAAAAAGTTGTGGACTTGCTCGATTGTGACATGGAAACCCTTGTTACTGCAGATTATAGTCATTTTAGTATTTCAGCCAACCTTCAAGTTGAGTTGCGAGAGTTTTTCACATTTTTGGATATGGAATTTTAGGAAATAATTAGACATGTAAGCATGCGTTGGTCTATGATGTCACCAGAATTTATTTGTTTTTCGTCCAAAACTTGTGTTGTGTCTTTGAAAAAAACTGTTCTTGTTCTGGATAGAGAAAACAAATTTTTTTGCGAGCTTTATAATATTATGTATGACTTACGCAAGAAGTTGAACGACCGGTTTCAAGACAGATTTTTTGTGTTTAGCGCCTAGTTTATTCTTAAGGCAGATATATTCCCACAGCTATAAAAAACTCAATTGAGTCAAATTTATATGCTGCTTTACAGACAGCTGTGACTTATTTAGAGCAGTGGTTCGATTTTTTATTTTGAGCAGTTACGTGTGTTTTGCAGCCGTTCTCCTTGCAGGTTGTCCCCAGCTTTGAAAACATCATTACTGGTTGTGGTATCCTCGTTCTAATTTCAATTATAAACGTGTACATGATGCACGATAAATATTTATCAGCTAAGTTAGTATTAGAAAATGTTACTGCGGATGATAAAAGTGACATTACTGCTGTAAAATGGCAAACTTTTATCGTTAATTGTGGTGATAAACATTTTCGAGTAAATTTACTAAAAATTGTTTCCTATGTGTGGTCTATCCCGGCAAGTAATGCATTTTGTGGAAAAATCTTCACACTCGTGAATAGTGATAGGTTGGAAGGAAATAGAGCGAATGTCGAATAAAGTTATGTCAAATAAAATGGTTTCAAATGACGGGTATTTGAAGTATTTATTTTAGTTGAAATTTCACTTATATAGTCGAATACATTTGCGGTCCAAAGCGGTCCAGTAATTTTAAACTTAAAATACATTGTTCAATATGTATACTATCAAGATAAATTTGTTTTATATTCCGCGGATGTCCGCCTGGTCTCTATTAATGATTTTTGCAAGTTAACCGGAGAAAAAAAGATAGCTAATTGATGAAAGACGTTTTAAAAACGTCTAAAACACGTAATATATGTTTGAAATTACATGGTTTAGACGTTTTAAAAGCGTCTAAAATAAAAAGACTACCCATTTTTTACGTCTTAAACGCGTTCTATCCATTAGTAGCGACAAGCTAGATGCTAGCTCATCTCCTACCGCGGTTGTGAGATTAGCTATTATATATGAATAAATATCAATACTTTTCATGTTTTAACTATATAAAAATTTGAAATTTATATATTAAATCTCAAACAGGTATTTTAGAATGTATAATTAAAAAAACAAGTTTGTAAAACTATTCTAGTCTTGCTGAGACCTAATTATTACATAACCATTTAGAATAAAATACATATAATGTTTTCGGCACATAAAATTGGGTACATCATTTACCCGGTACACCGGGTATTTATTTTTTTATTCATATATAATACAAAAAAATTTGAAGTTAACTAAACCTAACATTTTATATACACAAAAAGGTTAAAAGTCAGGGTTTCTTTTATAAGGATTATGTAGTAGTTTTATAAAATATAAAATACAGCCTTGAAACTGCATAAAAATACTTAAAATTAGTAATTGGGAATGTGTTGAATTTTTAAATGCATAAAATAATTTTTATTCAAACTGCCATAATAAAATTATTATAGTTATAACATTAATGCTTGGAAAAAAGTTACTTAAACTAGTTACTATGCAAAATAAAGCGACAGGCATTTCAGATAACACTATCAACCAAAAAAGAAATCCATAGTACCACTACATTTGTAGTATCAAAATACTCAACGTGATAATTATGGGAGAAATCCAAAAAAATTATTACTTTTTCTACTTTATATTGTTAAAGTAATAAAATATGTGGTTGCTAAGCAATTTAGGTACCCATAGCAACCTAAAGTTAAAAATAATGTCACCATTAAAACCGCAATCCTCAAGTTAGTAAACAGTGCAAAAATGGTTCCTAAATTTTTTTTTATATGACGAATTATTAGATTTGTCCAGTAAAAGTGATTTCTGGCCCACTATGCTTTGATGTTAAATAATTGAGTGGTGCATTATTTATATATATTTTTATAATTAGTAATGTTTAAATCAGGCTTCAAAGTTAAAGATTTCTACACACGCTAAACACCCAAATTTCGTACCATATATATTCATTTAATTGTTGATTTTTCAACTTACAACACACTATTGATTAACTTACCCCGCTGAGGCAGGTTGAGCAGCTTCGCAAACTTTAGACAATATATTAAGGAAAAATCAAAAACTATACTTTTTTCTTAACAAATATTCAGTAGGTTAAATTATCATTCAAATATTGAAAATAAGTCTGACGCACCGTTTATGAGATCTGTTAGATTAAGTAAAAACTGCTCAACTAGCCCCGCTCTACTCTATCTAAAACGTTTTTTTATTTTAGAACTTTACACGATTGAACTTGTTGCCAGAAAATATTTTTTTAAAAATAATTTCAAAAAATAATAGCTATATGCACTAGCCTTTTTCATTTATAGAAAAATAAAATTTTTCTTAATTTAATTTTATTGCTTTTTTAATCTTTTTTTATATATTTTTATGTATTAAATATTATAAATTTTACTTTTCAATTCTGAGCAAAACACACTCACGGCTGGACGTATTTAGTAAGTAATTGAATATGACCATGGCCTACTATATTTACACGAGCGGATTACATTTTTTGAGTAAAAAATTAGAAGGTTAACTTTCGGACTTTCTTAATTGTTTTATAAAATTATATGGTTAATACATGTGCTGTAGTTTAGTGTAAAACTAAATAAAAAAAGAGAGATTCAACTTTATTTTATTCCTGAAAAGCATCTTATTTTTGGATTTCCGGAAAATAATCCTTACTTATTTAAACAGTGGGTAGTACTACTAATAAATACTTAAGTATTTATCAATCGAAAGTTATGTTAATTTATCAATCAAAAGTTAAACCCCAGTAAAAAATTAGCTATTTGTGCTAAACATTTTAAAGAATTACATTTTAAAATTCGCAAAACATTAGTTTGGGACTTAAATCTTGTTCCAATTATTTATTGCTTAATTGAAAAAATATCGTCATCATTATATACAACTACATCGACAGGTAGATAGCCACCGTCTTTCCGTCATCCATTTTACTTATGTAAAACATAACATCCTGTAAAACATAGCATAATGTAAAACATAATATAAACTTTTGTAAAACATAAACATTCTAATACAAAACCCTTTACACAAGTATAAACTTATAAATGTTTGGAGTTTGCTCCATATCTGGATGTTAGCTATGTCAAAGACCAAAAAATGCTGGCGCCGCCATTGGTGCTACTTCATTCTTATCAAATGATCATCTTATGGGATGATCATTCCATAAGAATGATCATCCCATAAGATCATCTTATATCATGTTTATCAAATTATTGGTATAAAGTTTCTAAATCACATATTACAAATATATATTACAAATATATATTTAACAGAATATATATATATGAACAGAAACAATATTTTAATAAAATTCGAAAGAATAGTGTAAATAATTTTTAACACAGACAAAGTAATAAATTAAAGCTGAATAAGTTGAAATAATCAATTCAGCTGAACTAAAATGAAGTAATCAATGCCAAGTTATACAGCTGAATTATTATGCCTTTAATGTATATTCCTCGTTTATTGTTACGTTTTTGTTTATCTTTTTATATCTTATTAACATTATTGAGAAAAATGTGAGGTACATCTTCAAAGTAATTAAAGTCATTGCTAATTTTATTATTTTTTTGTTTAATAAAGTTTTTACAACTTTTATTGATGAACAAAGTACAATATAGTATTCTCTTATTTCAGCAGTGTAACTTTTTTATAGAAAAAAAATCAGCAGGCAAAAAAAGCGTCTAATTTATCAGACTTTAATCATATTTTTCAAATAAATTTTATATTTTATACACATTTCCATACACAAAATCCCGGCTAAAAGTTATAGTTTCTATTGAGTTAAGTGTGGCCAATCATGTTTTACTATATATTTATGTTTTGAAATGTTACCCTTCTAATATTTCGCTCCGAAAAGCAAGTTATCTGGCCGTGTTATATTACTATACTATATAATTATAGTAGGCCGTGATTATGACATATATTTTTTGTCAATTTTTTGCTTTTATTCTATATTTACTTAAAAACACTCTTTTATTTAAATCATTTTCTTACCATTTCAACTGCAAGAACAGCCTTTATTATTTTTAAATTTTTCTCATGTAACATTATTTTATCTTTTTGTTCATCCACTTTTTAAATAAGTTCATTTTTAAGTGCATCCACTGTTGAAGTAATTTTATTTTCAAGTGCAACCGCTTCTGACGCATTTTTGTTTTCAAATGATTCCACTTTTGAGGTAACTTTATTTTCAAGTGCAATTGATTCCGACGCAATTTTGGCTTCAAGTGACTCCATGTTTGACGTAATTTTAGTTTCAAGTGCATTCAATTTTGACGCAATTTTATTTTCAAGCGTATCCACTGTTAACGTAATTGACTCAACATCACAATTATATTGTATGGTACTTAGAACATGTATGATATTATTTTATTTTACAATATGTAATTTGTAAATGCAATATTTATTATATCTCACGCAATTTGTAGATGGAATGTAATACAGATTTATTTGATTTGTATGTATATATGAACGGACATATATTTGTGTGTACGTGTGCGTATGTGTGTGTGTATGTGTGCGTGTATGTGTGCGTATGTGTGTGTGCGTGCGTGTATAATAAAAATAAAAGTCGAATAAAATAGAGAATTAAAAAAAATAATAATAATAATGAGAACAAATAATTAATATATATATTTTTTTTCTCTTTCTGTAAATAATAATTTGATTTTTAAGTTCTTTTCTTCTTAAAATCAGTTCTTGCTTTAGTTTCTTTTTTCCTTTTTCATTTTTATCGGCTGAATTTTTTAGTTATATTAACGGGGCTGGATGATAAGATCATATCTTCTGCCAGCTCCGGTCGAAACTTTAATGTTATAAGTTTTATGTTGTAAAAAAACATTGTAAAAGATTATTCATTTAATGACGAAATAAATAATTGAAAAAAAAAAAAAAAAAAAAAAAAAAAAACAACGTCATTTTGTTTTCAAGTGCGTCCAATTTTGATATTGCCATTGAAAGATGGTTTTGAATTGAAGAATTGGCGTGCGTTGCATGTTCTTTTCTCATTCCCTTATTAATATAACAAATATTCTAATTACTTTAATATAAATTAAGATAAGAAACTATTTATATTACACATATCAAAACAAATATCAACTCTTTTTTAACTGATTCAAAAGTATATATTAATCATGGCTACAAATGAAAACTTTGAATCTCGTGTTTTTAAAATTCAAAAAACAAATTACTCTACGTTAAATGAAAATTTAGACTCTGATTACAATATTTATCACAATAAATTTTCAGATAGTTCATATTACTTTCCTAGCCAACTAGAAGGGTTTCTTTTTAAGAATGAGAATGAAAGAAATAATAATCAAATGTTAATTCTCCACCTCAATATAAGAAGCTTAAATAGCAATTTTGAAAAACTTTTAGACTTATTAGAAGAAACTAAACATGTTTTTAATATAATTTGTTTAACAGAAACTTGGATTTCTTTAGAAGACCTAAATAATTTTCATCTACCTCATTTTAATACATTTTTAATGGAAAGGAAAACAAATAAGCGCGGTGGTGGAGTTTTAATTTATGTTCACGAAAATTTTGAGCATTGTATTAGGCATGATTTGAGCGTTTCTGACTGCGATAAAGAAATTGCAACTATAGAAATTACTAACTGCAACAAAAAAAAAATTTTACTAAGCTGTTGTTATCGGCCACCTGATGGCGTAAGCGAAAACTTTAGCATGTTTTTACAACAAATTATTAAAAAAGGTACCGTTGAAAAAAAACAAAATTTTATAATTGGAGATTTAAACATGAATTGTTTTCTTTATAATGATAACCTTAAAGTTAAAAATTTTTATGATGAAATTTTTGAAACGGGATCAGTATCTTTAATAAACAAACCTACAAGAGTAACGACAAATTCAGCAACTCTAATAGATAATATAATAACTTCAGATATTTTCAACAATGATTTAAAAGTAGGTATTTTGCGAACCGATATATCAGATCATTTCCCTATATTCCTAAAATTAGATAATACAAACTCTGAAAAAACTTTAACCGCACAAAGAGTAATTAGAAAACGCATTTATAATGAGGCTAACCTTAGTTTATTCAAAAATCAACTTTCATTACTACACTGGAATAACATAAATTTTAATGATAATGCTAACAATATCTATGAGTCTTTTTTCAAAACATTTTTTTCTGTATACGATGCTAACTTCCCAATCATTGAAAATAAAATAACTACTAAGAGCTTAAATACACCCTGGATCACTAAGGGTTTTAAAAAATCGTCCAAAATTAAGCAAAAACTATATATAAATTTTTTGAAAACAAAAACACCTAAAAACGAAAAAATTTACAAGGACTACAAAAACCTATTTGAAAAAATTCGCAAAAATCTAAAAAAAAATTATTACTCCCAATTACTCAATACATTTAAAAATGACACAAAACGCACATGGCAAATAATGAATGAAATTATTGGAAAACAAAAATCATGCTCAGGTTTTCTGCCACAAATGGTTAGAGTCGATAACAAAAGTTTATACGAACCAAGAACTATAGCTCAAGAATTTAACAAATTTTTTATCGATATAGGTCCAACACTTTCTAAAAAAATCCCAAACACCAAATCTTTATTTACTGATTTTCTAGTACCCATTGATAATTGCATTGGTTCAGTTGAGTTGTCTTCTGAATTGTTGTTTGAAGAGTTTGAAAGAGCCTTCAAATCTTTAAAAAAAAATAAAGCAGTTGGAGCAGATCAAATAAATGGAAACGTTATTATAGATTGTTTTGAACAGCTAAAAGTTGTTCTTTTTAAAGTTTTTAAAGCTTCTATCCATCAAGGTGTTTTCCCCGAACTGTTAAAAATTGCCAAAATTATTCCTATTTTTAAAGAAGGGGACAAATCAATTATAAGTAATTATCGCCCTATTTCTGTTCTTTCCACCTTTTCAAAAATTTTAGAAAGAATTATATATAACAGAGTATACAAATATTTTCATGTTAATAAATTACTTAACATTAATCAATTCGGTTTTAAAAAGGATAGCTCAACTGAACATGCAATTATCCAATTTGTACGGGAAATCTCAAAATCATTTGAAAAATCACAATATACTCTAGGACTTTTTATTGATCTATCAAAAGCTTTTGATACGGTTGACCACCAAATTCTAATCCATAAACTTAAACACTATGGAATAAAAAATAAAGTTTTAAAATGGTTTGAAAGCTACTTGTCAAATCGTAAACAATTTGTTCCGAGTAATGACGGTTATCACACCAATTGTCTTTCTATAACATGTGGAGTCCCACAAGGCTCAATTCTTGGTCCACTCCTTTTCCTAATTTATATTAATGATTTAAATAAAGCCTCTAAACTAACAAGTATTATGTTTGCAGATGATACTAACTTATTTCTTTCTAACAGTGATATCTTTGAACTTTTTAAAACAATGAACAAAGAGCTTATACATGTATCGAGTTGGTTTAAATGTAATAAGTTAACTCTAAATTCTAATAAAACAAAGTGGACCTTATTCCATTCGCTTTCCAAAAAACGATATTTGCCATTAAACTTACCTAAAATTTTTATTGATCAAAATGAAATAAAAAGGGATTCCGTAACAAAATTTTTAGGTGTTTACCTTGATGAAAACATCACTTGGAATCATCATATCGACTACATAAGCACTAAAATTTCAAAAAACATAGGAGTTTTATATAAAGCACGAATCTACCTCAATAAGAAAATTTTAATCAAACTTTATTATTCATTTATACACAGTTATTTAAATTATGCTAATATCGCCTGGGGTAGTACAGAAAAAAGTAAGTTGCAACGTCTTTATCGCCGTCAGAAACATGCTATCCGTTTAATCTGCTTTGCAAATCGCTTTTCTCACGCAAAACATTATTTTATTGAAATGAGAATTTTAAATATATACGAGCTAAATATATATAATGTTTTATGCTTTGTATACATGTGGAAAAATGACTTGTCTCAATCTGTCTTCAAAGATATTTTTACTCCGAAACCCATCAACAAATACAATTTGAGAAATACTGATTTTTTAAATGAACCTTTCTGTCAAACGAACTTTAATCAATTTTGTATTGTCTATCGGGCACCACACCTTTGGAATAAAATTGTTTTGCCCAATTTTGATTTCGAACTACCCATTACTTTTCGTTTTTTTAAAAGTAAATTAAAAACCCTTATTTTTTCATTAGAAGACGTATTATGTTATTATTAATAATATAAATTAATAACTTTGCCTTTTCTTATTTATATTTGTAAAAAGTTTATTCTTACTTATTTTGCTGATTTTATATTCTTTACTTCACGTATACGTTTATATAAAATATTAGTGAGTAGATCCGCGTGATCTCTCTTTGGATTATAAAATATATATTTGGATTATATATATATGAAATTTGTAAAAATTTGATACTGTTAATGCTTGTTTGAACTTATTTAAGGTTCTGACGACAAGATCCTTTGATCTTCTTTCAGATACCTTATTTTATATTTGTGAAAGTTTATTATTATCATCAAAAAAAAAAAAAAAAAAAAATAAAAAATAAAAAAAAAAAAAAAAAAAAAAAAAAAAAAAAAAAAAAAAAAAAGTTGAAGAGAAAAAAGAGAGGAAAAAATATTAAATAAAGTGGCATCCTTAATTTACTGCTATTTTCTACCGCCCCTTTTTGTCATTGAAGGTAGCCAATTTATAATCATGAGCCAGAGATTAAAATGTCATAACTATAATGCAGTAGCGTAGCGAGGTAGGGGCCGAAAAGGAAATTATGCCGGGTGCAAAAATTTAATAAGGCGCAAAATTATCAAAATTTACCGTTAAAAACAGATAAAACAATTTAATATATGGTTTTTAGTTTTTTTAACAAAAAAAAATAAAGACCTATATATCATATATTTTAAAAATATTATGTTCGTATACAGTGGCGAAGAAAGGTTTTTAAATGTTTGAAATAACCAACTTATAAATAACAAGAATATTCCTAAATTATTTACGTTCATATGTATGACGAAAAAATTAAAAAAAAAAAATTTTTAGTGATAGGAGAATGGGAACAAGAAACCCTAAAATCTTAGCACCCCCTGCCCCAAAATTGAGAGCAGCAGGTTGATGAAGTTTCTTTTGCACTAATTTTAACTAGATTTATATTCATTGAGAAATTTTAAATTTCATAACAAAATATTTTAGTGTTCGAAAACTATGACCATATAAAGTTTAAACCATCCTCAATTTGAGGGGGTTGCAAACTTTATATAGTCATAACTGTTGAACAATAAAATAATTTACTACAAAATTAAAAACTTCTCGATGAATATAAGTCTAGTTGAAAATGGTACAAAAATATTTGACTAACTTGTTGCTCTCTCGATTGGGGCAGGAGGAAAGGGCTAAGATTTTAGGGTTTTTTGTTCCTATTCTCCTCACAGTAATTGTTTTTTTAAAAGAACCTTTTCGTCATACATATGAACATTAAAAATTTTGGAATACACTTGTTCTTCATAAACTGGTTATTTCAAACATTTAAAAACCTTCCTACGCCACTTTTTGTATATAAAACAATAATTGCTGTTAAAATTAAAAAAAAAAATTAGATGTTCTTTTATTCTCTACAACAAAACGAAACTGCAACTTAGTAGTTATTTTATAATTAAATTGTTTATTGCGCGATTCGTTTTATTATTAAAATCGCACGTACTTAAGGATGTTTAATAAACAGGAGACAGTGTCACGTAACTTTTTTGAAACCAGTTTTTAAAACAGCCGCCATCTCGGTTAACCCAAAACATTCGGAGCTTATGAGTTTACTAAAATATTTATTTAACTCTAGTCAAAAGATCAAATCAAATGATTGAAGACTTCGTCCGTTTATGTTTGGCAGCTTTAACTATCTTAAAAAAAACAATTTGCTAACTGATTGCCTTTTTCTGTTTATTCTAATAACATTCGGAATACTGAAATAGACATTCAGAGAACTGTGCATCAAGACGATTCTAGAAGATAATGTCT